GTCGTCATGTCATGTCAATTCACTTATCACATGTTTTGCTTAAGCTATATTTCTTTAGAATAAATGTAACAGTCATGTTGCATTACTCTACAAACATGAACTGCAGTGAAATCACTTTCTGACACGGGACTTAAACTTGTCCAGATCTGCTCCAGTAAAATGTAGTGTTTGGAATTGCATACTACCTTTGTCAAAATGCAGTACACAAAAAACTGTATGCCACAATGCAATGCTTTCGACTTCATGTTGCAGTTCCAGTGTGTGAATCAGTGTGCAGTTCCAGTGCAAATGAATCAGAAGTGACATCAACTGCGATTTTTTTTTGTTTAGCATTTACTAGCTTTTCCTTGCTAGAACAGCATACATACTGTATATATGCATACATACATAGACATAAAAAAATAAATTTAAAAAAATGAAAAAAACTCAACAAAATCACTAAAACTAAACTTTTTCAAATTAAAACCATAAAAACTAATTTGTTACTTGAAATAAAATAAACGTTAACTGAAATAAAATAAAACATAAAAACTTATTTAAAACATATTTTATTTCAGTTTGTTGCCAAAGCAACATTTTATTATTTTCGTTTAGTTTAAGTTGAAGTACTAAAATAAAACTAAATAAACTAAAACTAATAATAAAATATGACAAAAACACACAACAAATTTACTAAAACGTTATTATTATTATTATTATTATTATTAATACTTTTTAAATTTAACATTGCATATTGCATACTGTTATATATATACTACATTTTTTTTAAAGTAATATGCAGTATGCAATGTGTCAGCCTGAGCCTAAGCTCAAGGTTTGGCTAATTAGGTCAAGGTTTGTTTAGTTTGCATGACCCTCTTAGCTTCTGCTGGTAGATAGTGTAAATGGACACAAGAATCATCTTTCTCCACTGACAGCCATTCAAAACTATCCATGTATTCTGAGAAACCAGCTGAATGTTTCTCAGCAGAGCCACACACAGACTCTGACAGGCGCTCACCGGCTAAACAGACAGACAGCAGCATCAGCGCCGGACGCTTCCCTGCTGAAGCAGCTGATCAGGAGCACAGCAGAAACACTCCAGAAAACAGCCTGTGTTCACACGTCCTCAAGCCCTGAATGAGCCAGTGTTCAACACAAGAGCAGGTCTGAGATCAGAGGACAGCAGACGTGACTCTCTAAAGCAGCAGGCAATAAAACACAGCTCTTGCATGCTAAGCTAAGAGACAAAGCAAACAGAAGTCATTCATTTTCACTGACAGCTGATTTAAGGGATTCTGCTGATATATTCATGAATAAATGCACATTGATTTACAAATAGAAAACTGGTTCACAAATAAAATGAGGTATGCACAAAGCTATTTTAGCTACAGTACAAAATTAAGAGGTATTTGATGCAAAAATGCACAGTAGAAATTTAAAGATTTTAAAAAAATTGTATGATTAATTTGCATTCAATTTGCTGAATTAATTGTTTATAAAGTTATGAAAGAACTATATACCACAAATGAAACTAAATGGAGATATTGTTGTGTTCTTAGAGATAACTATAGCATATATATGTATATATATATATATATATATATATATATATAAATGCTATTGTCAGATTATTTTATTACCAGAATAACTTTGTACAAAAGTAGCATAGAGCAAGAGTCCCAGCTAACAAAAATATGTTCTAAGAATCACACACACACACACACACACACACACATATCTGGGTCTTTTATCAGAGTGTGTGTCAGTGTAATCGCTGCTGACTCCGGGGAGCAGAAGAGAGGAACGGGAG